AGGGTTAGAGATGGCAGCGCTTACCAACCAGGCTCGCTTCAGCAGGAAGTCAGCCCCGAATCACAGTTAGAGAAGTATTTTATACAACTCCAGCATCTCACCCTGCCACGTCATCATGTCACATTTGCAAAGGTGGATACATATTAGTAAATGAGGATACATCCCTAGCTCTAGCTTGGGATGCATAACACATTACACAGTGTTTTTAGAGCAAGGACACTACAAATGCACCGTGAGACATTATCTCTGTTAAGAGTTACCCACTCTGTCTGTATACTCTCAATTTATTTCCAAATCTCTGTGCACAATAAATATGATAACAATAAATATGATATCCAAACAGAAGAACTGTCCTAAATAGATAAAATGCCTGAGAAAACATTATTTTTGACATGTAACAGGGAGGTATTATTAGGGTTTAACAGACTTACACATCATTAATAAAATTAATCCTATCATAAACTGTCTCTGCCTTGAAAACTTATATTCATTCTACTTAATGTAAGTGTGAGGATACACTGGCATTTTTAAATGTTTAATTCCTTTCAATAATATAAGCAAAGATTTACTTGGCTTTTCTCTATTTGCAAAGAGCAAAAAATCAGAGATGTATTTTTCTATCCTATTGGATACCTGGACTGAATACATCGGCCAATGCCTACTACCGGTCTGTTACTACTGTTGAATGAATGCTCTCTTATTAAAAAGAGATATAAAAGGAACGTGGATATACATGTACTTATTATTTTTTGACAAATAAACTGCACTTTTGCAGCAGAAATATATAAATATATATAATCTATAACAGGTATCCTAAAATCAAATATTAAAAATATGAGCTATCTGAAACTTTCTGTAGATCACTGTATAGGAATTGCTGTGTATGATATATATATATATATATAAAGAAAATGACTGGATAAAAATGCTGGATCACCAACATCCAGTTTTTGATCCAGCTAATTGGTATTGGATCAGTGGACCTCCACATAAAACAATGTAGTTCACTTGAGGAGTGAATGGTCCCAATTTGAATTGGTAGTGGGTGATACACTGCAGGTCAGCTGGCTGAAAGAATAATATTGCCTAACTAATTATTACAGAAGAGTCGTCCTGCAGGATTGTTCTCGTCTAAACATGCCACTTTGACATTTTGATGGAGCTCTGTAATACAGCCAGCCCCCATGGCCATAGCTGAATGCTTTTTACGGTATCTAGAAAGGAAAGGCCCGTCCCACCTTAAACTAATAGTCATAGGCACAGGGGCCTGCAGTGGCCAAAATACATAAGAAACTGTTACATAGCTTTCATCTCACACCAATAGGTAATAATTCTATGAGATTCTGTGTTTTATAAATGATCCCATTTATTTTTGCAAAATTTCAACAGTTCTGTCATCATGAATGCATCATGAAAATTGTAGAGACTACATTTCCCACTACGCTGCTTGTAGAGACTACATTTCCCACTACGCTGCTTTTTGATATTTTTTTCTGCCCAAAAAACACAAGGACAAACATGGAATGAGAACTAAAGTAAGCTCACCCAATGCTCCTTTAAAGGAAACCCTTTTTGTTTTGTGGTAAGCGTCATGCAACATGTCTGCTAAGCAGCTGAGTGCAGGCTGTGCTACATAAGCAAATAGCTTTAAAAATTCCAGTGAGCAACTATTATCAACTCAATCTGCTCTTAGAGTTGCACTAAACACACAGCTTACTAGTACATAAATATTATTAATTATTATTATTATTTAAAAAATTATTACACACCTAAAATTAAAATTACTTGTTTTCCATATTTTGCCTTAAACTTCAGTATTAAGATATATGAGTGCTACAAGTCAATTTTGTACAAATCTAATGAACTTGTTATCATGACTTTAACACAAGCAAGAATAACTATTGCTTGTGTATTTTAGATAAGAGCAGCTGTATCATTTTATGACTTGATGCAATCAGCTGACTTTTTTACCAAACTGACTGGATGATCTGATTGAATTCTCTCTGTAAAGTGCCTTGAGATGGTGTATTGTGAACTGGTATTATGTAAATAAAGTTTACTCAATTGAATTATACATTTTTGTTGAACATCTAAGTGTACTATGAAACTATTGTATTTTACTGTTGGTTATAATAGCAAGAGATTAACCTGTTGAACCATGACTATTTGCTTGTCAAACTGGTTACACAGTAAACCCCTCTTCCTCTATATCCCAATTTACAAAAAAAAAAAAAAGATGCTCACATCTCAATGATGTCTCCTTGTAGCATTCTCGTTACAGACTTTTGTAAAGATGCTGCGCTCTTGAGTCAGAACCTAGATCAACACACACTATGAAATTGCTGAATCCATGTCGGATGAGTAAACTCTCTTTCTACCCCTTTTTGTACACCCCTTTTTAAAAGCAAAACTTCAGATTACAAGTATGAGGAAGATATCACTCAGAGCCTGTCTGAAGCTGCTTCTTTAGTCTGTTTCATGCAGGCCTACATAAATCAACAGACTAATGCTCATGAATTGAATAAAACTACAACCTTGTTTTTTATTTATTAGCTACAACAGATGCCAATAATACATTCAGGTAGAGTTAGGAAAATCTGATGTGTGTAATAATATACATATATTATCCTTTTGTAGATTCAAAAAATATGTTTGCAAAGAAATGATGCAAGTTAAAAACACTACAACCTAAAAAATCTAAACTTCTTTTTTTTTTTATTATACTTGTTCTGCAAAAAGGGGCTACACAAAATTCCTTGATCCTTTGTGTGACATGCGATATAACCAAAGCCAACCTCATGGAAATCAACAAAAAATACATTATTTCTTAGAGTATACTGTGTGTGATACATGCAACCTGCACCTTCATATGTGTAATGACGTACAAGTTAAAGGCTGTCTGGAAACGGCACAGCATTCTATCGGCTCCTATCCTACCCATGATAGAGTTCTTGTTCTTCAGAAAGGATGAAGTGGCAGAAGCTAGAAACAGCTGTATTGTTCTTAGTCGCTTCTTTCTCTTGAGTGCAAAAGCCACAACATTGATGGCCTCTATAAGGTTTTACTAGATATTGCACATCTCTCGCTGAGATACCATCAATGAGCAAGTATATATTGTTAAGGTATAAGTTTCAGGCATAGAAGGACATTAAACGGGATAAAAGGCCTTAAAAAAACATAAGTGCTATATAGATGAACAATTCCTACATTCTCCCCCACGGTTCATACACCTGGTTGGGGTGAGTGGCTCCTCATCTCAGGCTTGTAACCTCTACCAACAGCCTGAGAGGGATTCACTTCATCTTAGCTGTTCCTAGAACTGTGTACTTAAGAAATGAGATGTCTGATGTTACTTCAGATATCTGATGGAGCCAAATCCATTTAGTTGGCCCCTTTTTTTGGCTGTTTGTACCAGGAAGTCCCACAGGAACTTAGCTCTGTCATTCCCCAATGCTTTAGGAGGTGACTCTCATTTTAACCTGAGAATCTCGAGGTCTACACAGATGTTTCTGTACACTATACCAGTCACTTGGTTATATCATTCCAGGTAGTCCTTTCCTGCCATTATCATACACCATGCAGTGAGATGCAAGCATGTTTATCCAGTCTCTTTGCGTAACCTGCACCTGGGATCTTTCCTGGCATAGTAGATCTGGGCCTCTATTGCTCTTGTCCTCAAGACCTGCACCTGTGCTGCCATGATCAGTGCTTCTGTGCTGTCCTTCATTCCGGCCCTCTCTAGTGATGAGTGAATTTGGTCATATAAGCCACTGCAGCTATCCGCTGCTGGGGCCTCTCATGCAGGTTTTTTCCTCTCATGTTCCTTCAGTTCCTTCTCTTCCAGCTGCCATTATCTGTGACATTCACTATGGCTTCATCCCTTGGGGCAATTCTTATATATATATATATATATATATATATATATATATATATATATATATATATTATTTAAATGATTGGATCATTCTTGGTTAAATTGGAATCAAAATATTTTGGTAAATTAAATACTGCTATTGAAAAAGGAGCCTTTATTGTTCCACAAGCAAAAGTCTTTTGACTGAGAATGTTTTGATACGTGACAATGTCATATGAAAGTGTAAAGAGAAAACACATAGAATATTTTTGAGGTTTTTTTTAGAAGTGGTTGATAAAATAACCAAGTCTGACTTTGAATATCTTATTTCTATTAGGTAGAAATAGGTAGGTAGTCATCAAAGTATTTTTATTTAGCAACAAACCTAACTAAATTGAGATCCTGTAGCAACAAAACCATACTGGCAATAAACTAAACCAAAAATGTTGCTATATTTAAATGCAATCCTTGTTTCTAGGAGGGGATTGAGGTGATACAGCACTTCTTTTTTATAATGTTTATGTTTTCTGAATCCAAAAGAACTACCACTTGCTTTTTTGAGTTGGGAGATGCACATTTAAGTTAAAGCAGATGTCTACAAACTTTAAAAACAATGCACTGATCCGTATCTTCTGTGCATCATAGAGCATCACCAACATTAACAAAAAGGATTTTTTTTTTGTTGGTAACTGTATCAAAAATATAGATACATTCACTGACGCCGACGGTGGTACTCGGCTCCATGCAATCCTCAGGGATTATGGCCCTGGAAGGGAGGGTTAACAGCCGGTGGGATTAGCCGAACATCTGCACTGATCGGCGAGATGCGCTCCGATTAGTTCGCCTCCAACAAGACGGTCCCCCAACAAAGTAGACACGGTTAAATGAGATCAGCACGCGGGGAAATTCAGAGAAAGGCAGCTGCCTCTCTTCCACACAGCCTCGAGGTTTCAGTGTAATCTGAGAAAAGTTGAGATGCTCTCTGGGATTGATTTAAAATGTTTGGGATTTAGATAAAAGGTCGCTAAAGAGCACTTTGCAATTATAAAAATAACAACAACAAGAACAACAACAATTATAATAATAACAACAATAATAATAATAATAATAGTAATAATAATAATAATAATAATAATAATAATCTTACCTGTTGGGTTCGGTTATTTTCTCTCCCAGGAAATCAAAGCCACAGAATATTCCGTATTTTGTTACCAAACAAATTTGCGCACGCGAACATTACTGAAGAGTGACGCTCCGGGCCACAAAAAGAAACACAAGAGAAAAGGAATCAAAACAGTTTTTCTTTCTGACTTGAGAGCAAAACCACCGCTTCCAGTCCTCTGTGTTTAGTGGTGTTCCCGTCCATCCATGCCGGCTCCTCCTGCCTCTGACTCTCTCCCTCTTGGTATCAGTAGCGCAGGTCGCAGGAGGCGCAGCGTCGCGCAGGTTGCATATCGGAGAGAAGTAAAGCCTCGCTGTGCCCACTCACTCAGATGCGTCAGATCTCCTTCCTTGCCTCCCTCCCTCCCTCTACCCCCTTTTGCTCCGTTCCTCGCAGAGAGCGGCGCGGGAGAAAAACCCAGAGAAGGAAGCGCAAAAAGCGAGAAGGATGTCTTGTCTGTCTCCCCTCCCGTGCAGCCTCCTGACTGCTACGGCCATTCAAGCGGAACAGCCTCCCTCCCTCCTCCTGCAAGCACTCCTTCCTTGCCTCCTCCCCCTCCCTCTCCTCCTTCCGCTGCTTCTGGGATATCCTAGCAGTTCTGGGTATTAATGGACAGAGTAGCCTACCTGTCGGCTAGTTGTGCATAACTTTCACCTGCAACGACGTATGATTCATTTCTATTATTTAAACAAACATAGGATATTATTTAATTAGAATAAACATGTGCTATGCAGGCACACCCTCATCACAAACAGGTGAAATAGTTGAAACATCTTAAAAATTGTTCATGTAAGCTTTGGTTAGAAATGTAGTGAAAAAAGCATTTCTGAAAAATGCAATTTTGTGAAAATGTTGGTGTTTTTAATAAAGGGCCTCACAGATAGGTTGTTTAGAAGTCAGATCTAACATTAACAGCCTATTGTGAGATTCACACTAAATAATGCACTGTCAAATCAGTTTTAATCTTATAATGCATGACCACAAACTAATGAGTGTGTATTAAATATGAATCTGAAAATAGTCCTATCATTGTGCATTTTAATGCACTCATATTCAAAATAGTGCATTTACATTGGGTTCAATGGTGAGATTTCACTGTCTTTACCTTAGTTTGAATGGTGACCTCATGTCAAATGATATCACATTCTTTTTTTGTTGTTGTTGTTACTTATTCATTTACCTAAATGAAGGATTAACAGCTAATACAATTATATTTTATGTCACTCATATTGTAAGAAAGTCAACATTTTTGTGGAAGTTTAAGCTCTGTCATGCAAATTTTCCTATGGCATTTCTTCCAAAGTTACTATGGCAATAGTACCAGGAACTTTAGGGAAACCCAAAAATCTGCATATCTTTGGTTTGATCAGTGATATTCAGGGCTCAGCAACATTATTAAATACATAGTAAGACAATGTTAGAGCATTTCTTTTTCTCCAATCATATCTATTCCAGTTATACAAAAAGTAGTTACATAATAGCTCAACATGGTGTAAATTAATACACACACCAAATGAAATAAATACATAAAAAAAAATAATCTTAAACTGTTTTAAAGAAGTGCTATTAATTGTAGCATATATAAATTGTATTCACACCTTTCTATGTAATTTAGATTTGAATCAAGAAATAACAAAAGTTTCTAGATTCCAATTAAAACTGTGAAAAGAAACAAAAACAAAAGTGCTGAATTTGTGCATCATGAACCAGCAAGGAAGCATAGCTATATTGCTAATAGTGCATAGAATAAACAAAACACATGGGGTGGCAAAAGTCTATGAACGAACATACAAAATAAGCAACTGATGAAACTGTCTTTCAACTAAAACACTCACATAGTTTGTGTCTTAAGGTAAAATGAATATAGGCAGGTTATAAAGCAAGTCAGTAAAAAAGCACAAAAACATACACAAAATATAGGTTTTCATTTCATCAGAGCTGTAAATATTTGATTACACTGAATTCATGTTCAGTAAAACCCTTTTCTCTGTGTTAAAAGCAGGAAATAGTGTGAAAGATGCACCGATGGTTGGTACTCCCAGTGTGTTTAAATCCCCGAGCCAGCTGGTTGCACAGGCCGTCTGTCATTCCAATGTGATTCAGGCTAATCCTTACATAAGTCAGCCATTATGGCTTGTGACTATATGTCACACGGTGGTGGTTCAACAGCACTGGATTGATTTTAGCCCTCGTTGCCTACTTGGTCCTGAATGAAAGTGTTCTAGAGTCAAGTTTTCTGTTAAAAAGCAAAAGCACTTAAAGAGCACAGACCTCCACCCAGCAGCAAATTCTGCCCCTTTTTGTAACTCACACCTAGAGCTGAATCTTACCCCTGATCTATATCACTATACATTTTAATGAATTGTTCCTTGTAATGAGGTGCACCTCTGGTAACAATTCCTTAAAATCCTTTCATAAGTTCATAAGTAAGACACATTATGGGTCTGCAGCCTCTGGTGTTAGTTCTGGTCTCACCATCATGCTCTGCACTCCGCTTTGATCGGCAGATCGAGACTTCAAACGATGCATGACTCAATTTTCCTGTATTTTTGTCTTCAGTATAATACTTCTGGACTTTTTTGAGTCACTGAAGCTGTCTATAGTCACTCCTGTCAATCTCTGGTTTAGGGGGAACTTGTTGTTCTGCAAAATAATGTTAAAGACTCCTTTTAAAAAATTCCAGCATCTGGATTATGATATTCACACACAGACACAGAGACAGACAGACAAACAAACACACACACACACACACACACACACACACACACAAACTTGACTAAAGACATAACCTCCTTGGTGAAGATAACCAATTGGTTAGGACCTCAGTAACTTTTTTGTGAATGTCTATTAGGCTATCTCATATTTGACTTTTAATCAGCTAATACTGCTTTACCCTAACTCTACCCCTAGATTACACTGAAAACTAAGCTTAATTTATGCCTGACAGGTCTGAAAGTTTCGCACAGCTAAATTGTGTAATTTTAGCTTCAACCCTTGATAGATTTTTTCCTCCCTGCAAAGCCAAAAACCAATGTTTCTATAAAATCCTAAAAACACCAATATAAACCTGACAGATGAGATATCCGAGAATACAATAAGTTGTGGAATTAAACTGAATACCAGATGCTTTTAGAAAATAGGCACAAGTTGTAGTACCTGATAAAAAAACTGAAGACCCTCTTACTTTCTTCGAGTACTTAGGTCTATTATAATAGTCCAAGATTGACCTCCCTCACTTGAATAAATAAAGAAGTTTTCCAACCTAGGTCGTTCCATTTCTAACTCCCAGTTGGCATTCACAGTGATATAATCTGTTACCTGTCTCCACGAAAAACATGGCACTGTATGCCTTTTTCCTTGCTATCCACACTGCACACCTTTTCACCTCCCTATTTACCCCTGCTGGCATTTATACTGATATAATCAGACAGTTTGGGAACTGCCATTTTCAAGTCTCAGGTTTGGCATTTTAACTTTGCTTGCTAGTGTAAGAACAGCAGGGCAAGAGGTTGGAGTGTGAGACATAAAAACTGACTGTATCAAAATATGTAACTTAATCCTGGAATACAAGTTTATTTTTAAAATTGGAGCATCAGTGTGGATGTCTTATATTTTTAATTTATTTTGGAAAATAGGTTGAGTTCATCTTAGAAAATTACAAATTTGTAAAAACAAAAAACATTAACATTTGTACTGAGATAAATTAATGTCAATTTTATCTAGATGATACAACTCAAAAAGGTGTATTATTTTCAGTTTATTATTATTTATACAAAGCTTGGTTTTATTCCCAGTGTTTATCTTACTCTAAGCAACTGAAGAAGCTATTGCTATGACTGACTGCATGTTCTGTCTTATATTTTTTATAGCTTTTATAACTGCCATTGAGCTCTTTTCTGTGCGTACCTTTCTCCTAAAAGAAGCCACGAAAGGAGCTACTACTGCCATTAACCTAATCTTTTCTGACATAGAAGGTACTACAAGACCAGTGCATTTAAATTTATTGAGAATATATCAAAGGAGAACCTGAATCAAATCCGCAACTATTGACTTCCCTGGGAAAGGATTTATTGAAGCACTTTGACAAAATATCCATCCATCCATCCATTTTCTATGACGTTTTATCCTAGCTGGGGTCGCGAGGGGTGCTGGTGCCTCTCTTAAGCTGTCTTATGAGCGAGGTGGGGTACACCCTGTACAGGTTGCCAGTGTACAAAATTTCCAAGTGGTCAATTTCTTAAACCTGAATCTAGACCAACCTTTTTTTGTTTTTTTTCCCAAAACTCCCAATATTTGTGTGTTGGTTTTTTTTTTTTTTTCTTTTTTAAGAGGGCGGAGGTATTTGCCTTTACATGTGCAAATGCTAGGTACAGCAACATGTATATTAAGCAAGAACCACAATCCATTTCTTAACAAGTAGCCATGGACAAATTTGTGTTTTAACATGAAGAAATGCTTGAACATCTTGTTGGAGTAATAGGTATTCAACCATAACATTTTGAACCTGAACCTGTAGTTGAATCTCTAGAATTAATTGTTTTGGCCAACAAGATACATCTCTGAATGACCAGGTAGGCAACATAGATTAGTATGATTTGGTAGCATTTTTATAAGCTTCAAATATGGTTCTTGGCATGGAGAAGCAAATAGATATGCTTCTAAATATGTTTGGACTGAGGTGATGTGGTTCATTTTTTGGTGTCTTATATATGAGGTTCTTATTGTGTTACTATAGCACTTGATGTTGTTTCTAAAGTGAACATGCTTTGGATGCTGACTGTTAAGGGCGCTGTTGTTCAACATGTCTGCAAAATTCGGTTCTAGTGATATTCATCTGCGAGAACTGAATTTTGCAGATGTTGAACAACAAGGCCCATAACAGTCAGCATCCAAAGCATGTTCACTATAGAAACAACATCAAGTGCTATAGTAACACAATAAGAACGTCATATACAGTGGGGCAAAAAAGTATTTAGTCAGCCACCAATAGTGCAAGTTCTCCCACTTAAAAAAGATGAGAGAGGCT